TAGAACTCTTAGTCTCCTGGTTTCTTTCCTGTGTTAAACAACAGAGCAATCTCTCTCCCTCCCTCCCTCCCTCTCTCCCTCTCCCTCTCCCTCTCCCTCTTCCTCTTCCTCTCTCCCTTCCTCTCCCTCTCCTTGTCTCTCCTTCCCCCTCTCCCAAGCCAGCAAACTTTTTCCCAGGAAGTTTTAAGTAATTATTTGAAGCTTCATTCATTGTCTCTGGACCTCTGCATCTGACCGGAACTAGATGGGTGGAAATGCCAGCGTGACAGAGGAAGATTGGACCATGTGATAGACTTGTGATATTTGGAATGCTGACACTTATTTTGTTACCTTAGCTTCACAAAATACCCATGCTTGAAATGTTATTGTTTTGTAATCAGTAATTTATTTTGTATTGTATGTTTTTGGGGAGGGGGGAAAAGAAAATATGTGGCATATGTTTCTTTTTCAAGATTATGTTGCTTAACTCATACTAGTTTTTTTCCATTCCCTAAATGCCAGATAGATTGTTTTAAAGAAATTCTTGCTGGCAAATTATTAACTTTCCCATTTGATCTATCAAATTGGGTGTATAAAAAGACCTTTGGATCTTCCCAAGAGAACAAAAACACAGGAAGGTGAGGAAAAAGAGAAGGCTTATGGCAAGCAAAGTTTCTATAAAACTTACATTCTGGGAGTGAAAAGCAACTCGCCAGATATCCTTAATCACTAACCTATCCACTTTTTTCAGGATATTAATCATCGCTTATTCCTGGTGGATTCGGGGCATGGTTTCTGTTTTCAAAAGCTTGCCAGTCACTGGTAAAATCTGTTGGAGGCTCAATTTTAGTTTCACCAGTGAGAAATCCTCTCTCAAAATGACTCTCAAGGACCATGGGCTACATTTCTTCCGCAGTGCTGTGGATACAGTCTTGCCGGGGCCGATGATGAGAAGGGCCTTGGTGCTAGAACCAGGTGGGCGCCCCAGACTTTTGCTACATGGCCGTCCTTTTGAACTGAGGAGAAATCTATACCTGGTTGGCTTTGGAAAGGCTGTTCTGGGCATGGCAGCAGTGGCTGAGGACATCCTCGGAGGTTACCTCACTCAGGGAATAATCAGTGTTCCTCGAGGCATCCAAGAAACTCTGCGACATGCAGGAACGAGGTAAGGAAGACGGCCATATTTTATGGAGATGACATACAAAATCTGCCTTGGAAGCCAGCTTCAAGAATCCTATCTTGAGTCCTTCTTGGCTTGGTGTATCTTAAATCTCAGTTTCCTACTTAGCTACTTGGACAGGTTTATGGAGATACTTCCTATTTTTACTTACCCTGAGGAAAAAAACAGAAGCCTGATGTTTTGAGTTGCTCCTTAGAATTTTAGGTGATCAATATTCTTTTGTTTTCCTTTCATTATCACATTAATTATCCTGGCTGGCCATCTGTTTAAGAAGTTTTGAATATCATGGGTTTCAGCAGTACAAAGCTCAGCTAATAAATGACTCTTTTTTGGAAAAAAAAATGCTGCAGGGAAATGTTGCTGAAGCCGCACAGCCGAATCCAAGTCCTGGAAGGAGCGAGAGACAACCTTCCTGATAAAGAAGCTTTGGAGGCGGCCAGGGCCATCTTAGAATTAGCCAAGAGTCTCACAGCAGATGACCTTCTCCTGGTATTAATTTCAGGTGAGGCTTAAGAGCCCAAAAGGACAGAGAGGCTTTTGTCACCTCCAGATGCTTTTTAAATTCCCATTTCTAGCCTTGTTATATTTTTGCACGTTCTGCAAGTGTGGTTGGCAACTAGGTTGAGTTGTCTGCTGTGACAAAGAAGAAGAGCAGATGGCATGGGGAGGTGACTCAGGGTGGTTTTCAGTATGACTTTGCCCTGGATGATGCTGACTGGCCCTTGAAGCACCCTTGTGCTTCCTTGTGTCAGCGTGCTTTGGAAATCGTATTCTTGCTGGCCCTGGTAGCCTTCTCCATCACCTGCCCTTAGCTTTTGCTGCTGTTCTGCCATGGGGAAAGTGGGATCTTCTGCAATGGGAGGAAATCTAATACTAATAGTTTTGCGTAAATGTTTTTTTTTATAGCTTGCTAAAATAAATGTGGTAATTTCATATGAGTCATTTGTATATAGTTTCCATGATCCACACAGATGGGTTCTGTGTCTGCCTGATGCATATTTTTTTCCTCTTTCTCCATCTAATTCAGCTTTACTGAAAAATAAGATGTATGTATGCTCTGGCTCTTAATTTGCAACTGATATATTATCTATAGAATATCTATAGAATATATCTAAAATATATTCTGTTGTTCTATTGAGCTTTCCAGTCCAATGAAACTGCTCTAGCTTTTCTTGCTTAGAAATTTCAACACTACTTGGCTTTTTTTTGTCCAGAAGGTGGCAGTCCAGAATCAGAATATACCATGTAATATTGAAAAATACAGTAAGCTGAGAAGTAGCATGAACATAGAATATAGAATAACAGAGTTGGAAGCGACCTTGGAGATCTTCAAGTCCAACCCCCTGCTTGAACAAATGGTTAGACAAATGGTTGTCCGGTCTCTTCTTGAAAACGTCCAGTGTTGGAACACACACAGCTTCTGAAGGCAAGCTGTTTCACTGATAAATTGTTCTCATTTAAGGAAAATTCTCCTTAATACTAGGTTGCATCTCTCTTTAATAATATTTTACCCATTACTCCTCTTCCCATCCCCAGGTGCTTTAGAGAATAGGTTGATCCTGTTGTCCATGGAAGAGTCAAGTGTGCCAAAGAGTTGACAAATTTGTTTGGTCTGAAGGGCAAGGAAGAACTGAATAGAACATTCTAAGTAGTCATGTTTTGGAGGTATACATCATAGCATTCATTTCATCTTGATGTTCTTGGTATCAGTTATGTTGGTGCTATTAATGCACAGATTGTTCTTTGCACTATTTTCTTAACTCTCAACTACCGTATTTTTTTTGGAGTATAACACGCTCCGAAGTATAAGACACACCTAGCTTTTCGGGAGGAAAACAAGAAAAAAAAATCTGCCTCTGTCTCCCAACAATTTGTCTCCTTGTAGCAAATAGCAAACAGCCTGTTTCAGTTTCAGTTTAAAACCTGATTAGCACAAGGGGGAAAAAAATCTGCCTTTGCCTCCCAGTAATTTGCCTCCTTGCAGTAAACAGCGTGTTTCAATTTCAGCACAGCCTGATTAGCACAAGGAAAAAAAAATCTGCCCAGCAATTTGCTTCCTTGCAGCAAACAGCATGTTTCTATTTCAGCACAGCCTGATTAGCACAAGCAGCTGATTGTCGGTAGGATCGGCCTCCTGATGATCAACTGTTTCTGGCTGCAGGGATTGCCATAGCCTATTGCTGCCTCTGTGCACCCCATTTTTAGCCTCCACACCCAGTGTTCGGCCTCTGCACTCCCCATTTTCTGCCTGTTCTGGGAGGCGGGGATCGGAATGGGTAGAAAATGGGGGCACAGCTGATGGTCGGGATGCCAATCCAGTTGACAATCAGCTGTTTATGCTAATCAAGCTGTACTGAAGCCGAAACAGGCTGTTTGCTGCAAGGAGACAAATTTCTGGGAGGCAGAGGCCAAAGGGTGGGGGCCGGTGGGTGGGTGGGGCTACATTCGGTGTATAAGATGCACTCAAATTTCCACCCTCTTTTAGAGGGGAAGTGCGTCTTATACTCTGAAAAATATAGTTTTTCTTTTTGTTTGAGGCATAAGCAATAGTATGACTACATCAGTATGCCCTAAAGGCAGTCTAGGAAACCCAAATATTTGCAGAATCTCTCTTTAAAAGAAAAAAAAAACTTTACTTGTAAATATATTTGAATTGTAAGCAGCCCAGAGTCATTGACTGAGATGGGCAGCTGTAAAAATTGAATGAATGAATAAACAAATACATAAAACATCTTTAATAAATTTAAGAAACTCCTGAGCAGCCTACATGAGAATGTTATGGGGAGTTCTTAAACAGGAACTTAATTCCCTTTATTAGCTTGAAACAGAATATTCACTGAATTATATGAAACAAAGATACTGAGCCAGCTAGTAATTGCACAGTATGATAGGGTAAAATATATACATAATCATTTTGAGTAACTGAAGCAATTTTAAAATGTTTAGTTTCAGTTGTATAATGCTACGCGAAACATAAGTAAACAAAAATTAAGATCTTATTCATAATATAGCTCTTCTGAAGATTACCCATGATCAAACTGCTTTTATCTAAGAAATAACAGATACCATTAAATTTATGTAAGGAAGGAAGTTTTCAGTCTGAATGCATATTCCATTGGCTGGTATAAGATCTCTTCAGCTCTTTCCTTTATTTCATTGAAGGTATAAAAATGCCATTCCCCAAGACCCCCCCCCCCTTTCACTAAGGCTTGTGTTACCTGAAACTCTGCAATTGATCATCTGATTTCTCTTTTCAAGACTGAGGTGAAAATGTTAACAGAAATTTTATTTATTTATTTTATTTGGTTTGTCAAACATGTACAAGATAACAGGTATAAGTATAAACATGAACATGAACAAAGGAAATGACTACAAATAAATGGGGCCAGTTGGACAGGGACGGAAGGCATGTGGTGCGTTTATGCAACCCCCCCCCCTTTACAGACCTCTTAGGAATAGGGGAGGTCCACGGTAGACAGTTTGAGATTGAAGCTGTGGTAGTTTGAGGATGTAACAGTGGAGTCAGGTAGAACATTCCAGGCATTGACCATTCTATTGCTGAAGTTGTATTTTGTACAATCAAGTTTGTTGTTAGTTTGAATTTGTTGTTGTTGCTGCTGCTAAGTCTGTTTGGCTCTCCACAGCCCCATGGACCACATCTCCCCAGGCTCCCCTGTCCTCCCCTGTCTCCTGAGGTTCACACAAACCCATACTCTTTGCATCAGGAACAATATCTAACCATCTCATGCTCTGCTATTCCTCGTCTCCTCTTGCCTTCTGTATTTCCCAACATCAGTTCTTTTCCAATGAATTAACAGCAATCCTGGTCTACAAATGACAGACAGTATTAGCTCTGACTACTGAATCCCTTCTGCACATCTAGTTTTATAAAAGATCGTCAAGCATCTGATAATATCAGATTACTAATTTCTAATCTGGATATACATTCAGAAAAACTGAAATTGGCATTGATAGTTTTGTTGAATGACGGAAAAAGCTTTCCATGTGATGTAGTGGCAATAGATTCTGCCTAAACACAGATTTTTTAAATTTTAATTCTATTCATATGTGATATTCAAATATTTAAAGCATTTAAATTATTGCAGGAAGAATTTGGATTGCCTAACATTGCAAAATGCCAATGTAGATTGTATTGTCCAAATGCATTGTCAGTTTCTCTAGATTTTCAAAACATTTCCCCAAAATCACTGATTTGGGAATGATTCTAATTCTACCTTTTTTTCCTAAATAAACAATTAAAAAATTCCACTAAGATAGACATTAGTTATTTGGAAGAAGAATTGAATAAAGAATTGAAGCATTTCATTAAAAATGAATGGTTAAGAGTTTTTAAGAATAGTATGTTTCTTCTGATTTTAATATGACATTAATAAAAGCACTTTTAACATATGCTAAGCACACCAAATAATATTTTAAAATGTTTGGATGTCAGTCACATGTAGCATGTATAAAAAGGATGAAGGAACACGTATATGTTCTTTTAAGTGACTTGATCCACATTAGCCAGTTAATGGTTTTATACTCATAAACGTATTAGTGTGGTACTACAAACTTCAATACAATTTAAAGATGTGAATGTACTTTTAATTATGGACCACTACCACCATCACACAAATTAGAACTACTGTATTTTTTGGACTGTAAGACACACTTTCTATAAGACACACCTAAATATACAGGAGGAAAACAAGAAAAAAATAGTTTTTAGTCTCCATGTGTTGCATTTGCACCCTCCCCGGCCCCCAGAAGCACTCTGCAGTGCTTTGCATGGCCCGTTTTAGCAAAAAAAAAAAAAAAAGCCCATTGTGGGCCTCCCAAGCCCTCTGTGCGTCTCGTTTTCACCGTCCCAGATCCACAGAAGCACTCCATGTCAGGTTTCTGAAAAATGCCCTAATTAACTTCTGAGCCTCGAGTTGACATGGCCAGTTTTCACCAAAAATGGGCCTGTTTTTGCAAAAAAAATGGCTTGTTTTTGCCAAAAACTAGGCTGCAGTGTGCTTCTGGAGGTCTGGGAGGGCAAAAATGGGATACATGGAGGGCTTGGGAGACCAAAAATGGGCCTGTTTTTGATGAAAACAGGACATGCTGAGCACTGCAGAGCGCTTCTGGGGGTCTGGGAGGGTGAAAACACGATGCATGGAGGGTTTGGGAGGCCAAAAACACCTGTATTCAGTGTATAAGACACACCTAAATAATTTACCCACTTTTTTGGGGGGTGGGAAGGTGTGTTTTATACTCTGAAAAATACGGTAATCTCTGTCGAAGATTATACTTCAATGGTGGAATGATGGTATGGTCCCAGATTTATAATTTGTAGATTAGCAATATGTATTTTCTTTCTGTTTATGAATGGAATCTCTCTTGATGTAATGGAAAGATTGGTCAATATTAATTTGTGTTGTCAAGATGCAAAGATGAATTTAAATATTGGTTTGATATGTTCTGTTATTTGTTTTTTTCCCTTTTTCTCTCTGTATGTTTTCTTTTAATTTCACCCATTTTGTCTCTTTTTTGCATATTAAAAAACGTTAAAACATTGCATGGGTTATTGGGCATCTCAAGCTACAGTGTGTGTCACTGTAGGACACAAAGGCCTGCGATCCTGGCGTCCTTTCTAGAAGCATTGCTATTTACTCGGTTGTAAGATAACTGTCATGCAAAACTGATTCATGGTATGGACATGGTTGGATCAGGGATGAAGCTGAGACAAAAGAAGTCTGGAGCAGGGGTCAGCTTGCTTGTGTTTCACTCACAATGCCTTTCCGCTTAAATTGGCACAATTCTGCAAGCTTGGGTAGCATGTTCTTTATTCAGGGGCAATATCAGCTATGTGGGAACTTTCAGGCAGATCTTTTAAAAATACATTCACGCTTACACCTCACTCATCCTCCACCACTGGCCACAATCAACCTTTTTTTAGGTCTTGCATTTTAGATGTGTTAAATTTACATTTTTAAAATGTAAAAACATAGGCTGCGTGAAGAAGGAATTCCAGATCAGGGAGGCAGAAATTAATCAGCGTGGCTACTGATTTTATTTTTATATGTATAGGCACATTGTGTTCCTGACCTTTAATGCATATGCATCACACGGGGCACCTTAAAACACTTGAAATAAGTGCAAGATTTACATTTTGGCAGCGTTCGGAAAAGCGTACAAAGATATCTAATAGGAATAATCATGTCTTCTAAAACTGAACTGGATATTGAATGCCTTCTTAAAATAGAAAGGCTTTGCCTATTTGCAAAATATTATCCAATAGGGCGACAGTCTAGACTCCCAAGGAGAAGATTCCAGAGTTTGAAAGCTACCGTATTTTTTGGAATATAAGACGTAACTTTTTCCCTCAAAAAATCTGGGTGCATCTTATAGCAATAGCAATAGCAGTGAGACTTATATACCGCTTCATAGGCCTTTCAGGCCTCTCTAAGCGGTTTACAGAGAGTCAGCATATTGCCCCCAACAATCTGGGTCCTCATTTTACCCACCTCGGAAGGATGGAAGGCTGAGTCAACCCTGAGCCGGTGAGATTTGAACCGCTGACCTGCTGATCTAGCAGTAGCCTGCAGTGCTGCATTTAACCACTGCGCCACCTTGGCTCTTATACACTGAACACAGCATTTTTTTCCCTCCTGAAACTCTGCCCCCTTCACCAAAATGGCCGTGCGTAGCCTTTAGGAGGCTTCCAACGTGCTCCTGGGGCTGGGGAGGGCAGAAATGAGAAAAAACGGGCCGTTTTTTGCTCAATTTTGCCCCCCCCCCCAGCCCCCAGGAGCACTCTATAAGCCTCCTAAAGGCTATGCATGCCCTTTTTGGGACACAAAATGGGATAGTTTTCATGAAAAATGGACTATTTTTTGCTCATTTTTGCCTCACCCGCCCCCCCAGGAGCACTCTACAAGCCTCCTAAAGACTATTCATGCTTTTTCTTTGGAAAAAAAAAACTAGCCTGTTTTCGCAAAAAAAGGCTGTTTTGGGGAGGTCTGCAGAGTGCAAAACCTTTTTTTTAAATTTGCCTCTTCAAAATCTTGATGTGTCTTATACTCCGGTTCATCTTATACTCCAAAAGATACGTTATTAAGAAGGCAATCCCTGAGGTATCTTGGACCCTAAGCCTGTAATGATTTACAAAATTACTCTCAGTGCTTTGAATTGTGCCCCAAAATAAAGAGGTAATTGTTGGCAATTGCAATAGCAATAGCAATAGCAATAGCAGTAGACTTATATACCGCTTCATAGGCCTTTCAGGCCTCTCTAAGCGGTTTACAGAGAGTCAGCATATTGCCCCCAACAATCTGGGTCCTCATTTTACCCACCTCGGAAGGATGGAAGGCTGAGTCAACCCTGAGCCGGTGAGATTTGAACCGCTGACCTGCTGATCTAGCAGTAGCCTGCAGTGCTGCATTTAACCACTGCGCCACCTTGGCTCCTCAATTGTTATAGGACTGGGGTATAGCAATGCCTTCAGACATCTAACCCATTTGCCTCACCTATTGCTATTGCTAGAACCCAATTTAGAACCCACACAATCCCTAACAGTAGATAAAAAAGAGAAGTGGAGCTACATGCCACTGAGAGGTCCTGCAGAATGACAGGGACATAATGCCCCTGTCTTGATTTCACGGTGGATTATTTACCAGGGCAACCAAATTTTTTTTCTAGCCTCATTCCCAGTTCTCAAGCTAAAATGAGTCTAAGCAACTTGTTTCATCCAGGAACTCCTGAATCTGAGGTGCCAGACTATGGTTAACAAGAATAGCAAATTGGAAAATTATCTAACAGGATGGGGAACTAGAAAGGACTTTTTAAATTAGAGGTTTCATACTAGCGCTCCCTCCTCCCCCCCAAGGCTGGATGTTCAATGAAGGATTGGTCATCTATCTGACTGGAACTTCCTTGGTGGCCTTAGATAGAGAAGACAAGTGTCAAGGGTACGTATAGTTTGTCTTAATTTACTAAAGAAGTTGTTAATAACCTGCTGTATGAATAGAACCTTATCTGTCACATCAAAACACAAGGAGACATAGCGGGATCTGATTCTGACATATTAATGAGAGTAACTGTTCTTGAATCTAGGGTGGAGACATTCCCTACAACTTGAGTAAAGATCTGCTGGCAATGAGATAGAAGATAGATGAACTTAATGAGATAGATATAAAGAGAATCTACCATCCCAGGAAGAATGATCAGTATGATACTGCGGTTTGAAGGAAAGTCTACTCATATTTATACAGGCAATTCTTTTGAAAGACATCCTTATCATATGCCACTGCCTACTGTCCCTAGGTTTTTGGAAGCCACTGCTCTCATATGAGAATAATTCCCTTTCTGGTTAATGTTGCCATGAGTAAAATTCTAACAGTTGGTTAAAATTCCCTATATAATGGTTTTTCAGGGGTATTATTTTGCAAGATATTGTGCTTCAATCTTCAGCCTATTTTGTATTTCATGGCAGTTTTTGAACTGACATTGACATAGAGTTGACCTTGAGGCCTTTCACTACTCTCTTGATCTATTATTTCCATGGACTTTCTGTTAGTTGTGATTGTGCACCCATTGCTCAGGTGGTCTGTCTGGTTCTTGAGATACTGCTTTTTAATGGATTGTCTCCCTCTAATCCATCCATCCCTGACACCCAGTTGCAGTTCACTTCCCTTCTCTATTTTGCTTAAACTGACCTTGTATTTACAGTTCGTTTTATGCAGAAATAACAAGCACTGTAAGATGTATTCTCATCTGTACACGTGATTCCACCCTGTGAGTCTATGGCTTTCTTTACATAAGTAAACCTGAATGGATTTCAGGATGAAACTTTCAATTCACTGGATTATTGGGTGTCTAATTTTGAGAGCTGTGTGTTCTGAAAATAATTCTTAAGAAGTGTGTTGGATTTTGTGTGAGCTCAATCCTTCTCAGCTATTCGTTTACCCTACTTTATATGAAAAAATGCCACTGTTTGAAGAGACATGTTAACTTAAATCTGTAGATTCCTTAAACCGTAATCATCTTTTTTTCAGGCTTACACAAAAAAGCGGGGAGCTTTAATGGCTAGCAGAAATAGGTTGCAATCATGTGAGTTCAGAGGCATTTCTCAATATTGCAGATTTGGGGAGGGGAGGAGTGTTTAGGAAGTGAATGATCCCTATTATATCTCATTGTCACGTCCAGCCTAAGAATGAGATAAAACGATACAGCCAACATTCAGTTATTTAGTTGCTCACATCATATAGACAGAATCTTGCCAGACTAAACCTATACTACTCTCACCCTAACTAGATTCTAGGGAGTGGCTATTCTAGCTTTCTTCTTGATCCAACTTCGGGTTGTGGTGCCTCTTGTCTTGCTCCCCTCCTTGGAATATTCTTTCTTCTTTCTGAGAAACTGCCCCTTCACTGCAATCCAACCCCTTCATACACACAATCCATCATACACAATGATATGTAGTTAACTTTCCTGTGCTGCCATTGCTGCCACATCATCATCATCATTTCCAGATTTTCTATCTCGTACTTGCAAAGATGAATTTTGTAAGATATTAACACAGCCCACCTGTAGTTTTCTTGGCAAGGTATTTCAGAAGAGGTTTGCCCTTTACTTCTTCCTGGGGCTGGGAGTGACTGCCCAAGGTCACCTGGATGTCTTAATGCCTTAAGGCAGGATTAGAACTCAAGGTCTCTGGTTTCTAGTCTGATGCCTTAACCACTGCACTAAATTGGCTCGCTACCTTTAATAGACATGGGAGGAAAGCTACTTTGCCCTTTTAGAAGGAGTTTATATGTAAATCTCTGTTTTAATCACTTGGTAGGAAAGTAACCCCGGTTGTCATTCTGTAAAATAATCACTGAAAAGCAGGAGGAGAAAAATTGCAAAGGATGGAAAGAGGCAAAGAAGAAAATATTGCCTTGATAGGCCCCTCTTTGGGGGGGGGTGGCTGTTGTCGTCTGATAGAGGCTTGGCAAGAAAGGAGCCTTAGCACTAGCACTTAGACTTATATACCGCTTCATAGTTTACAGCCCTCTCTAAGCGGTTTACAGAGCCAGCATATTGCCCCCAACAATCTGAGGGAATTTTACCCACCTCGGAAGGATGGAAGGCTGGTGAGATTGGATCTGCCAACTGCTGGGGCAGCTGATGATCAGCAGAAGTAGCCTGCAGTACTGCACTCTAACAACTGTGGCTCATGTTGCCTAAAGGCATACTTTCTGCCTTTTAGGAGGTGGATCTGCTCTTTTGCCTGCACCTATCCCTCCTGCCACCCTCGAAGACAAGACCACCATCACCAGGTTACTTGCTTCAAAAGGAGCCACCATTCAAGAGCTGAATACTGTTCGAAAGGCTCTCTCTTTGTCAAAAGGTGGGGGGCTGGCTCGGGTGGCTCATCCTGCCCAGGTAAGTGTATTAAAAGCTGTCTTGGCCCAATAACTCTTGTTTGTTTTTTTTTTAAAAATGCCAATTGTAGCCTCTAGACCCGTGATGGTGAATCTAAGGCAACGCGTGCCCGAAGTGGCACATGGAGCCATATCTCCTGGCAGGCGTGGCATTGTCCATTCCTCTTCCGGGTTTCTGGTGCACATGTGCACGCAATGATCAGCTGGCCGTGTGTGCAGCAGTGCCGGAAACTAGAAGAGCTGATATTCTATATTCTGGTGTGAGCATGTGTGCCGCCCAGCTGATCATCGTGCACGCATCCGCACCGGAAACCAGGCGTTCATTTTCCAGCTGTGCTAAAAACTTGCAAAGCATGCCATCAAAAAGTCTGATTGTTCAGCTGTAATGAAGACTATGAATTACCATAAATAAAAACAATGCCTTGTTGCTTAATTTTTCTTTTACCCAATTTGTAAATAATTTGGGTTGAGGGATTTGATTTTTAAAAAAACGTTTCTGTTTTGCAGAAATTGCATGTATATTTAACAATTAAGAACTTAATTGTTAAATGTACAGGTAGCTTTTGACTTACAATCAATTGTTTAACATGTTTGAAGTTACAATGGTGCTGGGGGAAAAAAAAGTCTGGTCCTCACATTTATGCCCACTTACAAATGTTACATCACCACCATGGTCAAATAGTCACATGCTCATGATTTGTAACTTATTTTGCCAGTTTCCAGCAAAAACCTGGTGATTGGGAAAATTGTGGATTCGCTTAATGACTAGAGTGATTCACTTAACAAGTGTTGTAAAAATAATCATAAAATTGAATTCAACAACTGCAAGAATGTATGGCAGAAATTCTGGTCCTAATTGTGGTCATAAGACAAGTACTACCTGTATAAGCTATGAAATATGACCTATTTTTCATAAAAGCGAAAGACAATAAATAATTTTGTCAGAGCAGTAGGGAAGAAATTGAAGAATGATTCATACTTTATATGTCAAACACAGTTCTGTCTATTAGTAATACACTGAGGCTGTTCTTTTTTAGAGCAGGAATCATATAGTATATAAAGACATCTATTAGTTACATCAGTTTTTCAGCAGGCAGGAAATGTGAAGGTGGCTGCCTTTCCTTTTCCTAGGACTCTGGCTCAGTTTCCTTTCACTTATGTAGGATTTCTCCAAATCCCTTTCAGTGCAGATTCAAATATATATGTTATTTTGTATACGATTCCAAGGAGTGCAGTTAGTCAACTAAAGCCTCTTACAGCATTAATGTAATTATTTTATTTTAGTCTATCAATCTTATGATAAAATTGGCGTAGGTTTATAACTGAGCTTCTAAAATGCCTCCAATTGCAATCTATTGTTTCCAGACAGGATTTGTGGTAGGGTGGGCTTTTTTTGTGTGCCTTCAAGTTAGTTTTTGTCAGGTTAAACACAAGAATAATGAAGAGCAATTCAGCCAGAGTTCAGTTCTTTATTTGCCTACACACAGAGTCATTGTTAAACAATGGAATTATTGGGATAATATTTCAAAGGATAGATGGAAAGATGAGATGTGGTCTTTGAAAAGTATCTGATAAAAATCCATCCTGTAACAATCCAAAATAGAGAAATGTTGTTTTATAAGGAATGGTGGAATGTCATTTGTTGTATAAGTCATACCTGAAAGCAATTTATTTTAAATATTATCAGCATATTAAAATTCACACATATTTTTTTTCAAAAATTCAGGGTAGGCATAGTTTAAAATAGGAACCAAATTCCAATACAATATGAAAATTATTTTACTATTGCTTATTTATTTCAGGTTTTGAGCCTCATCCTCTCTGATGTTATTGGAGACCCATTGGACATTATAGCAAGTGGTCCGACCGTTGCCAGTTCTCACAGCATGCAAGACTGCTTTCAGATACTGGCCAAATACAGTGTATTGAATGCCTTGCCAAAGTCTGTGTTGACAGTCCTCTCTAGCTCTGTCACAAAGCACAGCACCCAGCAAGACTATTCCCACGTCTACAATGTTGTGATTGGATCCAATAGGCTAGCTTTGGAGGGAGCCAAATGCCAGGCAGAACAGTTGGGTTACCTGACTATTCTCTTGAGTGATGCTGTGGGTGGGGAGGTCAGCACTGTTGCCCATTTCTATAGCCTATTGATTCAGTTTGTGTGCTTGAGCCTTCTGAAAGATGCTGGAAATAGACCTTTAAGAGACTCTGTGAAAGAGAGGCTCGCGGTCATTGCAGAACAGCTGGAGATTCCAGTCTTGAGCCTGATAGACCCTCTAACAACAATGAAAGAAACTCATGCAGAAAACCCCATATGTCTTCTGGCAGGTGGAGAAACCACCGTGCAGATTCAAGGAAGTGGGAAGGGTGGAAGGAACCAGGAACTGGCTCTGCGAGTGGCCTTGGAACTGCACAGAGCTAAATCCACTATGGAGGGAAGCTGTCTTAATAAATACGAAGTCATGTTTTTGAGTGGTGGAACTGATGGACAAGATGGGCCAACAGAGGCTGCTGGGGCCTTCTGCAGCCAGGATCTGGTGGAGGAGGCCGAGCAGGAGGGCTTTGACGTGGAAAGCACATTGAGCAATAATGATTCATACACATTTTTCACCAAGTTCCAAAATGGACATCACCTTTTGATGACAGGCCTGACAGGCACAAATGTCATGGACATTCACGCTGTTTTAATCAGAACCCGAAGAACTTAGTGATGTCACAGACACTGAGTTGTTTTGATTACGAAGGAATCTGTGGTCAACCCAAATGAAATGTCTCTGTACAGGCTGTTAATAACAGGGACTTAATGGACGGATATTGATAAACAAGTGAAGGACATTTTGCTGTTCTAATTAGATCATGAAAACAGCTGCTTGAAACTTTTTCATCACAATTAGATTTTTATAGCAACTTTATTCAGTAGTATGAAGAATTCTTCTGGTCATTCTGAATGGGGCAGGCTGAAAAAGAGGAGCTAACAAAACTCTATTTAATCATGAGAATGGCATCCAGAGGGCACCTCAGTTTTGTAAATCTTTTGTCATTTAAGGTTGGCTCACAGTATTTTATAACTGTAGCCTTCTCAGATATTAAACAGGAGTTTGTCTCGTACGGAGTTTGCTTTCCTTCCTCCCCCCCCCGGGCCCCCCCCCCCAGCTTTCATGCATGTGATGATACT